GCCTTCCGGCTCTACGGGCACTGGGTGAAGAAAGGTGAGCAACAGAACCGAGCCGCCCTCTTCCAGCACCAGCCCCCTGGGCCTTTTCCCATCCTGGGCCCTGAAGAGGAGGGGGACTCAGCTGCTATCACTGAGGAGGATGCCATGCTGGCACTGGGCTAGCACTTCGGCCCCGGGGAACCCCAGAGTGCAGGACTCTCCAGGAGGAGGGTTTTTATCATTCCAGCCCTTCTGGGCTTTGGCCTCAGGCCCCCCCTGCCCGGCCAGGCCCACCACTGCTCATACCACCATAAAGACCAGCCGTGTACACCTGTCCCCACCAGCCAGGACTTTGGGATCAGAGCTGAGGGGGAAGGCAGTCGCGCGCAACAGCATGCCTGGCCTTGTCAATGCTGCCTCTGCTGCATTTGCAATAAAATCTGCACGCCGGAGGGAGACAGTGCCTGGTGTCTGGTGTCCAGCTTCGTCAGGGGAGCCCAGAAGGTGCTCGGGAGGCGGGGGGGGGGGGGCGGGGATGGGGCTGCTCTGCCCCCGCCCTTTATTGGGGAAAATGCTGGGGGTCACTTGGTCTTGTTCTTGCCTTTGCCGGAAGGTAGCTGGAAGGGCTGCTCTAGTGTGGTCAACTTGCTGCTGAGCCTTTCCTCGCTGGCCTGGAGCCGCTCCTCCATCAGCTGTTGGAGCTGCCTCAGCTCTTTGTTCATCTGGGTCCTGATGTAGGCTTGCAGGATGGAGACCTGGCCTGCCGGGGGCAGGGAGCAAGGGGCAGGTGAGCAGAGATGCTGTGGGGCTACACAGGTGGCAGGGTAGCTTCAGTTCAGGAAAGGCCAGCTAACCCTTCTGTGGAGAGAGATGGGGGGGACTGGCCAGGCTGGACTCTCTGGGTTGCTGATCAGCAGATAAGTGACTTTAGCAGGTGATTTCATCTTTGCATACCTCGGTTTCCTCCTGTGTACAGTGTAGATAGTGATAGCACCTAGTGCCTAGGCCTGAAGGAAGATTAAATGTAAAATGCTTAAAACAGGGCCTGCCTGGCACCACAGTATTGCCAAATATGTGCCGGCTGTCATTGTTTTTTTTTTAATTTTTTTAAAGATTATTAGAGAGAGAGAGAGTGTGCGCGCACATGCATATACGAGCAGGAGGGACAGAAGGAGAGGGAGAGAGAATCTCAAGCAGACTCCGTGAGCTGTGAGCTCGTGACCTGAGCTGAAACCAAGCATTGGCTGCTTAACCCACTGCGCCACCCAGGTGCCCCCGTCATCGGTTTTATAATGATCCTTTCCTGGAGCTCCTGCCTCACCCCCAGCAGCTGCACTCTTATTACCTGTTTGTCACCTTGGACTTCTGCATAAGGAATCATTTGGAGAAAGGACACTGTACCTAAAACAGACCTGAAGTCCTGATATGGTCTAAACCCTTCATTTTATGCCTGCCCAAAGTCACAGGGGACCCTAACCCATCCTCACTTGGCTCTGGCTCTGGCTCTGGCTCTGGCGGGACCGCTGTTTCTGGTTCCTCCTGCGGGGTGACTGCCTGCTCCTTCGCCTCCTCGCCGCCTTTCTCTGCAGGCCGGAAGCAGGAGGAGGCTTCAGCCCCAGCCCCAGCCCCAGCCCCAGCCCCAGCCCCAGCCCCAGCCTTCTCCCTTACCTGTCTCATCTTCTTGCCAGAGCTTGGGTGGCTGTAGCCCCACGTAAGTCAAAGATAGATCCAGCCGCACCTGGGAAGGGGGAGGAGGAGAGAGGCTGAGAGGAGGACATCTGCAGTGAGTGAACTGGGGAGATGAAAAGTGGCCTTCATACCTGGGGTGTGAAGACATATTTGTAGAGCTTGAAGTGGCGGAAGTAGGTGTTGACCACATAATCTGCCAGGGCCAGCAGCTGTTCCTCCCTAAAGAGGTTGATACTGAAGGGGGGCCGCTGTGGGGATGAGTGGGAGTTAGACGGCTGACCACCTCCAGGCACCCTGACCTTTTCTCCAAGTGCCCAGCCGTTTAGGAGCAGGGATTACCCCCTGCAGCCTTCAGAGGAAGATGAGGGTGATGAGTGTGAGAGAGGACAGGAGACGGGGCTAGACCTTCTCTGTGGGATACTGAAGACCCCGTTTCAGGGGAACTGACCTTGACTCCGTGGCAAAAAAGGACACTGGTGAAGTAGCGGTAACACTCCTCCACGTTGCCCAAGGGGGTTGCTGGGAGGGAAAGCAAGATGTGACAAGGGAGTCCCCTCCCAGATAATCATTCATTTCACTCACTCACCAGCTACTTATTGAGCATGAGCCTCGGAAATTAACAGATCTAAGTTTTAAGTCCTTACTCGTTTCATTAACTCACTCAACAGATAGTACCGCAATGCACTGTTCTAGGCACTGAACAAGACAGACGAGGTCCTGCCCTTAAGTGACATACAATAAAACAAGAAAGACATGATTTCAGCTCTTGTTAAACATTCTGCAGGAGGGCGCCTGGGTGGCTCAGTTGGTTAAGCGACTGCCTTCGGCTCAGGTCATGATCCTGGAGTCCCGGGATCGAGTCCCGCATCGGGCTCCCTGCTCAGCGGGGAGTCTGCTTCTCCCTCTGACCCTCTTCCCTCTCGTGCTCTCTATCTCTCATTCTCTCTCTCTCAAATAAATAAATAAAATCTTTAAAAAAAAAAAAAAACATTCTGCAGGAAATCAGTTCCAGGAATGAAGTGGGAGGTGGAGGAGGAGCTATTTTATTGAGCACTGTCTTTATATTTACGTATATTAGCTACAGTATTCCTCAGAACAATCTCAGAGTTGGTGCTGTCACCACACAAATTGTCACACACAAGTTACGGTGTGGGTGTCATTACAATAGTGCTTGTAATGACAGAACAAAGATTCCCGGTGGTAATCCATTACTGCTTCCTGCAGTCACTTGTGCCATCCCAGCTTCCACTGTCCCCTGGGCTCAAATCCTTTGGTAGCCGCCACCTCTCACCAACACAGGCCTTGTGAAGATCTTGGAGCAGGGCACAAACTGTCGATGTCTGTTCCAGTGAGAAGCCATGCTGGCGGCAGAAGAGGAGTGCGTGGGAGAAGAGGTCCAGGGTGATGGCATCCCGCAGGCTTTGCTCAGGATAGCTTAGCCCCAAGAGCTCAGCTAGCACCCTTGGGAGGGAAGACAGGAAGGCAGGCCTGAGCCAGCCCCACTTTACCACCCCACACTGGTGCACCACGTGCTCTGGAGCCGGGCATTCATGCCTTCCCCACCCAGCCCCCTCAGCCTTCCCCAGGAGCCAGCGCTTTTGCTCTTCCCTGTCCCACCCCCATACTCCCTCATCTCCTCAGTGTTGGCTGTCTTCTCCAGCCTGTGCATGGAATGGATGTCCAGGTACTTCCTGTCATAAGAAAAGAGGAGAAAAGGTGTTTGTGGCCATCAGGCATTAGTCTCATGAGAAGGCTGTGATGGCTAGAGCACTGGACTGGGAACCAGGAGACCTGAGTTTGAGGGTTAGCCCTCTCTGGGCAAGTCACTTCCTCTCTGGGTGTAACTTTCTCCATCTTTAAATAAGGGATATGGCTTAAAAGAACTCTTACGATCCTCTTCATTTATAAAGCTGAGGATTAGGAAACTTGAGTTCTTGTCTCTGCCACTCGCCCTGTGGCTTCAGTGTCTCCCTTTATACAGCGCTCCATAGCAGTTGATACTGCATTTACATCCTTAGTCTTCTTCCCAACCTCCCTCTTTGGACTGGGGAGGCAGGAAACCCCAAGATTCTTCACACTCACCACATGCAGATACGGGGCTGGGGCAACGGGGGCTGCGGAAAGAAAACGGAATGGGCAGGCGGAGCTGTGCCGTCCCGGGCCCCAGCCCCTGACCCGTTCGGAATCTCCAGCTGGCCTGAGAACCCGCTAACTTGCCTTCTCATTTTAAGGATTATGTACGAGCAACACTGGCAGGCCAGGCTTCAAAAGGCCCTAAGTACTATTCATGAGCATTTAACAATCGGAGTCACACACCCCAGCCTCTTCACCAAGGCACCCAGGAAATGTCTTGAACGTTAATAAACATAACGACGGGTGACGCCCTGCCGCGCAGCCCTTTTATAAACATTCATGAGCGGACCACTCTGTCCCATCCTCACCGGGAACAAGTTGGCTGCAGGATCTTCATCCGCTTCTATCGAGGCCGCGGTTCTGGACTCGGTCCGCACACCTGTTACCATCCGCGTGACGGACCCATCCACTGAGCTAAGGTCCTCCTGGGGTTCCCGCTGCAGTTCTGAGGGCTGTTCAAGCTCCGACTGTATCTTCAGTGCCATGAATTGGCTGGACTTCTGGCGGATCATCTCCTCGCTCTTCCTAGCCGCGGCTCACCACAGGCTGTGTCCCGCCCGAGTCCTGGGAATGCCGGTTCTCGAGCCTCGACTGTCAAGTCCTCCCTCCAGCGACGCCTCAGCCAATCTACGCCGCAGAGAGGCCTCGTGCAGCCAATCCGCAGGGAGCGTCTCCCTCCGTCTCAACGGCGACCGTTGCTAAGGGAGCTCGTGGAGGAGGGAGGGAGCAAGTGTAGGACGTTCGCCAATCAGTGAGAAGAGAATGCGCGTGCGCAACAAGTTTCAAGCCCCGCCCCCGTGCCCTCTTTTCAAAGTGGCTAACAGGAGGCAGGCGATGCCCTCAGGGCTGGAGGATGTGAGTGTGGTGTCAGTTGCCACGGGAACTGTCGGCTGGCCAATCACCGAGAGAAAGAGGTGGTGTTCAGGAAGAAACCAAACGGGGCCCGAGAGGCGGGACAAAGCGCGACCAATAGAAACAGGAAATGAAATTTCGCCACATCCGGCATTGCCTGCGGCGCTTGCGCTCTGGGCTGAGGAGGCCGGTGACGTCTGGTGAAGTCCAAGATGGCGCTAGGCTGATCCTGCTGCCGGTGAGGGGCCAGGGGCAGGCGGGGTCGGGATCCAGCAGATGTGTGCGGGGGAGGCTTGGGGCTGCGGAGCGCTGGCCACCTCTACATATCTGCTCTCTGTCTTCTGCAGGTGACGGAAGTGCCGCTTACGCCTGCCTGACGTCCCTCGGGAGACCCTGCGCCGCTCCTCGTAGCCGCGGCCATGTCTGGACCCGGCAACAAACGCGCCGCCGGCGACGGTGGCTCAGGGCCCCCAGAGAAGAAGCTGAGCCGCGAGGAGAAGACCACGACCACGCTTATAGAGCCCATCCGTCTTGGGGGCATCTCTTCCACGGTTCGTGGGCTCCTGCCCCAGTCCTCACAACTTGCCGGACTCCCATCTCTGTTCTCCGCTCAAATCGTCTAGAACTTTTACTCCCAGTTCCCCCAAGCTTAGCAGGATCCACTTTACAGAACACTCTGTTGAAGGAAACCGAGGACATGACGTCTGCCTTTTTTTTTTACAGATAGGGAAACAGATTCCCAGAGGGCGTGTGACTTGTCAAAGACTTGAGAATTAGAAAGCGAAGCAGAACTTGATCTCCTCACAATTAAGATGCTTTCTCTGTGGGTGCCTGAATCTCTTTAAATCTTGTTAGTGGTTAGTCTGGGGATACTGTCTTCTCCGTTCCAGTTGCTTTCTTTTGTCTCTCTCTGTGATTGGTTTCTTGGGCCCTGCTTGACCCTCTCCTCGTCCCCTTTGTTTTCCTTGGTAGGAGGAGATGGACCTGAAGGTTCTGCAGTTCAAGAACAAGAAACTGGCAGAGCGGTTGGAACAGCGACAGGCTTGTGAAGATGAACTCCGAGAACGAATTGAGAAGCTGGAGAAGCGGCAGGCCACAGATGATGCCACACTCCTCATTGTCAATCGCTACTGGGCCCAGGTGGATGCCCCTCTGCTTTCCCAAGACCTGGCCTTGATCCAGCTGCCAATCCTCAGACTACTCTTCTGGGAAAGGAGTATCATGCTGGGAAGCACCTGAGGGATTCATAATATTTTTGGTGCTTTCTCCCTTCAGCTGGATGAAACTGTGGAAGCCCTTCTCCGACACCATGAGAGCCAGGGGGAGCTGTCTTCAGGGACAGAGGCGCCTGGGACCCAGGAGGGGCCGACACGTGATGAGACCCCTCTCACAGAGCCAGGGACATCGGAGCTGAGGGGTAGGGCCAGAGCCCTAGGATCTGGGGAGCTTAATTAAGTCCTGGGAACGGTCCTGGAAAGGAGGGAACTTTTATATTAGTCTTCTGAATTCCCCCACCACCCTTCTCTCTCTCTCTCTCTCTCTCTCACACACACACACACACACATTTGACTTCATGTTTGGACAGCGAAATGCAGTAAAAACCCAGGCCCCAGGCTGTGGAATCTGAGTGACTTGGTTCATAGTGCGTGTCATGTTTGACCCTCATTTGGTTCAAAAAAGTATTAATATTGAGTGTTAGCTGTGTAGTTAGTACTGTTACAGTCTCGGAAGAGATAAAGATAAGCGCAAAGAAATACTGCCTCTACCATCAGGGAGGAAGTGATTTTAAACAATAAGTAAAAAGAAGAGGGGCCCTTGAAAGAGAATTAGTGTATGTGCACTCGTGTGTGGTTCTAATTTAGATTGTGAAGGCGGAGAAGTCTTCCCTGAGGAATGATTTGGAAGCCCTGTGGCCTTGAAATTACTTTAGCTTTCTGAGCCTCCGTAGTTTCACATTGATGATGGGTATTGCTTGTGCTGATTCAGTGGCCGTAGAGTGTCGAAGGGCTCAGTCTGGAACTTGCTATGGAGTGGTGGTGACTGCTGCTGTTCTCCTCCTGAGGTCTTCATGAGGGTCTGTCCCTCTCTCGCAGAGCCCCTGCCAGTGCAGCTGCGGCCCCCCCTCAGTGAGCCAGCCTTGGCTTTTGTGGTAGCACTGGGCGCCAGCAGTAGTGAGGAGGTGGAGCTGCAGCTCCAGGGCCGAATGGAGTTCTCCAAAGCAGCCGTGTCCCGTGTCGTAGAGGCTTCAGACCGCCTACAGCGCCAGGTGGAGGAACTCTGTCAGCGAGTATACAGCCGAGGTTAGTTTTTTGTGTCCTGCCGCGGAGGTGTCTGTCCCCATCTGTGTCCTGCTTATATCCTCTCAATGCCCGAGCCCAGAGGCAGCCATAATTCTCCAAGAAATAAATCAGCCACTTACTCAGGGAAAGGGGTAGGTTGTAGATGGGGCTCTGCCTTTGGTTCATGGGGTTGAGCTCGAGAGAGCTGGGTGGGAGTTGTTGATGCTTATGGGGCTAGGGCTTCCAGCTGGAGACCTCTTTAGAACCCTTTGCACAGATTTTGGTTGCAGTTGCTGACCCACAAGGCACAGTAGCAAGGGCCCAGGCTTTGCAGGCTGACAGGCTTCTCCCAGCCCTAGTCCTGTCATTCTGGGCAGATGGCTGTCCTCTCTGAGCTGGTTTCCTCCTTTGTGCAGTGGAGACACAGACTCCTGGCTTTGTCATGAGAAATTGACAAGACAGCTGGTGGATAGCAGACTCCAGAATGAGTTAGTACTTTGCCCCATTGCCCTGGACTTGGCTCTTACCCGAGCCCTGCCTTCTCAGGGGACAGTGAGCCCCCCGGTGAGGTGGCTCGGGCACGCACGCGGGAGTTGGGTCGTGAGAACCGGCGGCTGCAGGACTTGGCCACCCAGCTACAAGAGAAGCACCATCGCATCTCGTTGGAGGTGGGATTAAAATCAGGGCAGGGTTTGGGTTAGACATGCACCAAGGCTCTCAGGGAGCCAAGTCCCCTCCTCTAAGCATCTCACCCTGTCATTGTCCCCAGTACTCTGAGCTCCAGGATAAAGTGACATCAGCAGAGACCAAGGTGCTGGAGATGGAGACGACGGTGGAGGACCTGCAGTGGGACATAGAGAAGCTGCGCAAGCGTGAGCAGAAGCTCAATAAGCACCTGGCGGAGGCCTTGGAGCAGGTGGGGCTGGGGTGCTGGGTCAGATGGAGCCACGGCTGGGTACGTGGAGCCCTCGCTTCTCTCCTCCACCCCCATCGGTCTGTCTCTCCACAGCTCAACTCTGGCTACTATGTGTCTGGGAGCTCCTCCGGCTTCCAGGGGGGCCAGATTACACTCAGCATGCAGAAGGTGAGCAGGCACCATTCTTCCCAATCCCACCTGTAACCTTTTCTCTGCCCCACCCATGAAAGTGCCCTCAGAATTAAGGACAGACCATCTGCATGGTCTGAGTCCCTTCCTTGTCGTTCATGATGCTCTGTTTTATTCATTTGTGTAACTAATAAGTAATTGTTAACATTAAGTCCTAAGCATGGTGCTTGGAAGTAAGCATCAGAGGACAAAAGAGACAAAAAGCAAAGGTTTCATGGAGCTTAGGTTCTGGTGGGGGGAACAAACAAGAAGTAAGATAGTTCATCAGGTGGTTACAGGCGACCTAAAGGAAAAGCATAGAAAAGAAACAAATGGGGGCGCCTGTGTGGCTCAATTGGTTAAGTGTCTGCCTTTGGCTCGGGTCATGCTCCCAGGGTCCTGGGATTGAGCCCCGTGTCGAGCTCCCTGCCCATCGGGGAGCCTGCTTCTCCCTCTACCCCTCGCCCTCCCCCACTCGTCCACACGTGCACACGTGCTCTCTCTCACACATGAAAATAAATCTTAGGAAAAAGATAGACAAGTGAAAGTATATTGGAGCTGACTGGCATTCCTAGCTGGCTGGCTGAAGGAGGTGTCTCACAGAGGGCTCTCTCACTTCTTGTTCATTGCACATTTTTTTTGATACAGTAAGGTTCACTGTTCCGTGTTAACTCCTTATTTCAGGTTCCTTTTCAGGTCTTTCAAGAAGGCTTCCCCTGATTCCCTGTCACTTATGAGCCTTGGTTCCCAGCACTGACCATGCAGTATTTTCTCCCACTTACCTGGGAGCCCTTAGGAAAGTGCTTGGGTTTGGCTTGTCCGTGGGGCTTCAGAATCCATCATTGCCCACATGTGGTAGTGATGTGAGGGAAGCAGGCATCCTGGCCTGGCCCTGCCTCCCACAGCTCCTCCCATTCCACAGTTTGAGATGCTGAATGCAGAGTTGGAGGAAAACCAGGAATTGGCCAACAGCCGTATGGCAGAGCTGGAGAAGCTGCAGGCCGAACTTCAGGGGGCTGTGCGGACCAATGAGCGCCTCAAGGTGGGCTCTGTTTAGGACTGGGAGGGCCTGAACCTGCGAGGTGTAGCGGCTGGGTCCTGAATCCTCTTGCTGATCGCTTTTGGGCACCCTGGTCCTAGGTTGCCCTGAGGAGCCTTCCCGAGGAGGTGGTGAGGGAAACAGGGGAGTACCGAATGCTGCAGGCCCAGTTCTCACTGCTCTACAACGAGTCTCTGCAAGTGAAGACCCAGCTTGATGAGGCCCGGGGGCTGCTGCTGGCTACCAAGAATTCCCACCTAAGACACATTGAGCACATGGAGGTATGGCCCTGGAACAGACCAGGGTCAAGGTGTTGCTGGCCTTTGCAGGCCTTGTGTGCTGCCAGGGGTCCCTTGGGAATAAATTCTTCCTAAGCCACAGAGGCCTGAGGTGGGGGAGGAAGAGGAGAGGAGTTTGCCAGGGGGCTGAGGGGTTGTGTGGGTCCTTAATGCCTCAACCTACAGAGCGATGAGCTGGGGCTGCAGAAGAAGCTGCGCACAGAGGTTATCCAGCTGGAGGACACACTGGCGCAGGTACGCAAGGAGTACGAGATGCTGCGCATCGAGTTTGAGCAGAACCTGGCGGCCAACGAGCAGGCAGGTATGTGGTGAGGACAGGGTGGAGGTGGGGCCTTATCTGGGATTGCTGGTCCCTGGTGTGGGGCTGCTGCTTATCCAGATGCGAGGGGTTGAGCCCCTTCCTTTCGCACAGCCTCCTCTCCCTGGCCAAAACAGGGATCATACCACGTGGCTCAAAGGCCCAGTGAGGGTCACAACCAGCTGAAGTGGCTGACCGAGCACGCACCGCCAGAACATGAACTCTTGGCCCCCTCCGTGGTTCTCTGGCCTTACGGTGTCTTTCTCTTAGAGGTAGTCGTTCATTTCACAAGGATTTTTGAACAAGACCTATGAGCCGGGCTCTTTTCTAGGCTTTGGGATTATGTCCATGAACAAAACGCAGACGATCCCTGCTACTGTGGAGTAGTATTGTAGTAAAGGAAGGCAGCAAAGTGAGAAATAGACCACGTATGTTAGGTAGTGGCAAATATGTCAAGAAAAACAAAGCAGGGAAGAAAGATAGGAAGTGTTGGGAGAAAGGGGTTATGATTCTGGATGGGAAGGCTAGAGAGGTGAAAGAAGTGACATTTGTTTAAAAATACGGAAGAAGCAGACTAACTTACTTTGGTGAATATTACAGTTATATGTTCCTTTAAAGGAAATTTGGAAATACTAGAAAAATTTACATTAACAGAAGTAACAAATAGGCAGTCTCAAGTTAGTTTGGGGTGAGCTTTTTTCAAGCCTGGGTTATTACTTTGATGAGATCACACTGTATGTACGGCCTCAGTTTCCCTCTCGTCCACAGTGGAAGTGATGGCTGTGGCTCCCCTTCTTCCCCCACTGAGGGGTTGGGCCCTTCATGCAGAGGCCGGTCTGACTCCTTCCCATCCCTCTTCTAGGGCCCATCAACCGTGAGATGCGCCACCTGATCAGCAGCCTCCAAAACCACAACCACCAGCTAAAGGGGGATGCCCAGCGGTACAAGCGGAAGCTGCGGGAAGTGCAGGCGGAGATTGGCAAGGTGAGAGGGGGCTGCCTGGGAAAAGTCTTGGCTGGACCGGGTGAGCACTGTCTCACCTCAGCCCTGTTCTCTGTCTTTGCAGCTCCGGGCCCAGGCCAGCGGCTCCACCCACTCCATCCCCAACCTGGGCCACCCAGAAGACTCTGGGCTCAGTGCCCCAGCCCCAGGGAAAGAAGAGGGTGGGCCGGGCCCTGTCACTGCGCCCGATGGCAGAAAGGAGATGGCTTCAGTGCCTGGCACCACCACTACTACCTCCTCAGCGAAGAAGGAGGAGCTGGTGCCCTCTGAGGAAGATGCCCAGGCCATAACTCCTGGGTCCCAGGGCCCCTCCTCCCGGGGCCGAGAACCTGAGGCCAGGCCCAAGCGGGAGCTTCGAGAGCGGGAAGGGCCTGGCCTGGGACCCCCATCTGTAGCCTCAGCTCTCTCAAGGGCTGATCGGGAGAAGGCCAAGGTGGAGGAGGCCAAGAGGAAGGAGTCAGAACTCCTCAAAGGTCTCCGAGCAGAGCTCAAGTGAGGCCCTATTCCTGTTTCCCTCCCACCCCTATTGAAGTAGCCTCCAGCCCCATTCACCAAGCCTTCCTCCTGTGCCTCCCCAGGAAGGCCCAGGAGAGCCAGAAGGAGATGAAGCTGCTACTGGACATGTACAAGTCAGCACCCAAGGAACAGCGGGATAAGGTGCAGCTCATGGCAGCTGAACGCAAGGCCAAGGCTGAGGTGAGGACAGGTAGGGCCTGTGGGGCATGCACAGAGGCTGCCCTGAGGAGTTCTGACCAGAGCAGAGCCCTAGGTCAGTGGGGAGCAGTGACAAGAGCTAACTCTCTGGTGGCTGTAGGTTGATGAACTACGGAGCCGTATTCGGGAATTGGAGGAAAGGGACAGAAGGGAGAGCAAAAAAATTGCAGATGAGGACGCCCTGCGGCGCATTCGGCAGGCGGAGGAGCAGATCGAACACCTGCAGCGCAAGTTGGGTGCTACCAAGCAGGTGCGACCCCCTTGTGGTCCCCTTGCTTCTGAATGTTGGGATTCCCTTAACTCCCTGTTGAGTGCTTCCAGCAGATGGTCCGGGGCCACCCTGTTCAGCCCTGTTTTCCTGTGGTTTCCCCATGATCATCTTCCATGTTCCACCTCATCTCTGCCCGTTTACCACAGGAAGAGGAGGCTCTGCTGTCAGAGATGGATGTGACTGGTCAGGCTTTTGAAGACATGCAGGAGCAAAATGGGAGGCTGCTACAGCAGTTACGGGAAAAGGATGATGCCAACTTCAAGCTGATGTCTGAGCGGATCAAGGCCAACCAGATTCACAAGCTGCTGCGGGAGGAGAAGGATGAGCTGGGCGAGCAAGTTCTGGGCCTGAAGTCCCAGGTATGGCCACCCTGGGCTTTCGAAAAGGGTGGAGCTGGAGGGGCCAGCGGCTCCCTAGCACTGAGTCACCACCCCGACCTCAGGTGGATGCCCAGCTGCTGACCGTGCAGAAGCTGGAGGAGAAAGAGCGGGCCTTGCAGGGCAGCCTTGGGGGTGTGGAGAAGGAGCTGACGCTGCGCAGCCAGGCCCTGGAGCTCAACAAGAGGAAGGTGAGGCCAGGCCCAAGGGGAGAAAGCAACCTAGGACAGTGGCTCGCAGCCGAAGCCCTCCTGTGCTGAGTCTTGTCTTTGCTGGGTTGCATTTTGGTCTCATAACAATCGTGAGATGGTGTTTGTTATTATCTGCTTTTCTCAGTGAGGAAATTGAGGCTTAGGGCAGGCAGCTGACTTGCTCAAGAAAGATTGGACCAGGAATTGGGGCTGATCTCATTGGCTCCAGAACCCACTCTCTTGGTTAGCTGTGAAGTAGGGATGCTGGTCGTTGTCACATAGTTGTATTAAACCTCAGGAACGTCTAGGTCATGGCAGAGGCTTAAGATCAATGTTGGTTTTCATTTTCATTTCCCTGTTGGGCTTTTTATCTTCCCCATTTAATTCATTAGTTAAGGCAGTATCATTCGTGCCCTTGCTATGAACCCCTGTCACTGAGTGCTGGGGAGAACCTGGAACAGGAGGGTCTTACCAGAAGTGGGAACCTGCAGTCTTGAGGGCCAGATAACCAGCCAGCGATCCCACAGGTAAAATAGGCTGTTGCAGATCCCAGTAAGTCTTGTGAGAGAAAAACAGGGGAGCCTGTCTCGGGAGCTGAATATAAGCTGGGGCCTGAGGGGGCCACTGGAAAGAAATAAGTGTGTTGCGGGAGTTGAGGGGAGCAGAGAGAAGAGCCCCGTGGAGGCTGAAAGATAGGAGAGAGCGTTGTGCCGGTGAAGAAGTGAGTGTGTCAGGAACTGTGGAGAATAGGAGGAGGTGAAGGTGGAGAAGTCAGGAGGCAGGACTAACTCCAGTGAAGATACTGGACTTGATCCCAAGAGCAAGAGTCACTGGAACGTTTGAACAGGCATCTGTGGACCATGGCTCCACACGCCTGACTCCCCAAGCTCAGGTGAACGCCCCCCCCCCCCTTTCCTGTCCCACCCACCTCAGGCTGTGGAAGCAGCCCAGCTGGCCGAGGATCTAAAGGTGCAACTGGAGTACGTGCAGACACGGCTGCGAGAGATCCAGCCTTGCCTGGCGGAGAGCCGGGCTGCTCGCGAGAAAGAGAGCTTCAACCTCAAGAGAGCTCAGGTGTGTCTGTGGGGCAGGGGCAGTGTGGTTCAGAGTCACTGATGTGGCCTCAAGGCGGGTGGTGCAAGAGGAGAACCTTTGCGCTTAGCCTAGCCCTTCTCCTGCTCCAGGAGGACATCTCACGGCTGCGGCGCAAGCTGGAGAAGCAGAGGAAGGTGGAGGTTTATGCAGATGCCGATGAAATCCTCCAGGAGGAGATCAAGGAGTACAAGGTGGGGCTGTGGGGCTGACTTGTGCCCCATCAACCCAGGAAATCTTAGATGGGGAGTTGGTGAGAGTTGTAGTGGATAGTCTGGGGGCCCCAGAAATAAGTAGCAAAAAGTGGGCAGAACCCTGGTTGTGGAGAATCGAACAACTAACCAAGTATCGTACACTACTTGTGTCAGGCACAGTGCCCGCTGGGTGTGGGAGGGCTTAGGAACGAGCCTTAGTCTTAGATGTCTTGAAACTGACTGCCTGTTAGAGGAGGAAGCTAAGTATTCTGAGTGATGAGCATTGCAATAGCAGAGGCCAGGGGTGCATGGCAGCTCTGGGGGCTAGTAGGCTTCCTGGAAGGAATGTCATCCAAGGAAAATCTGAGGAATGAGGGTGAGAGGATTCCAGCAACGGGAAAGGCAGAGGTAGAGGCCCTTCATTGAGAGTGGTGTGCTGGAGGACAGATTGCTGGACACCGTAGTTGGAAGACAGAACATGGGTTTTGTGGGGAGCAGGAAGGTTGGGGGCCTTGGACAGTGTCAGATCCTGAAGGGTATGGTGAGGAGATGTTGGCTTATCCCATAGGCAGTATAGAGACATCAAAGGGTTTTAAACCAGAGAGTGATGTGGTCTGATTTGCTGTTAGATTTGGTACAGAGGAGGTGAAGACTAGAGGCAGAGAAATTTTTTAGGCTATTGGAGTCATTGAGACAAAAATGGACAGGGAGCTAGTGTGGGGTGTTAGTGACAAGTAGAGGAGGTCAGGAGATACTCAGGAGGCAGAAGTGCTTGGACTCAGTGATGGAGTGAGGGAGAGGGAGATATCAAGAATGCTTGCATTCCTGATTTGAGAAACGAGGGATGACAAGTGGCACATACGGGATTAGGAAGACTGTGGAGAAGCAGGTTTTGGTGGACAGTGTTGTGTCTCCAGGATATTGAAAATGAGGTACCTGTGGGAGGCTGGCTGAGAAGGCACTTGAAGCAGAGGGACTGTCTGGACGACAGGGGTTTGGGGGATTATGAGTAGAGGCAGCAGTGGGAGCTACATACAACTGTGGTCACGCAGGGAGGGTCTGTGGCATGGGACAGGTCATTCTCTTCCCTTAGGAACCTCAAAGCTTAAGTGATAGGCAGAGGAAGAGAAGCCTGTGGTTTGGCCTTGAAGGAGCAGAGGCAGCTGGGGGGCAGCCGTGGGGAGGGAGAGGAAAGTTTCTCCAGAAGAGATGGACTTGGATGGGTGTGGTTTGATAGCTAGGGAAGAGGCGATGCTGGGGCAGTAGGCTGGGCTGGGATTTCAAGCAGGGCAGAGGAAGAATGTTGGGGAATTTGGAGTTGAGGGAACTCCTGGAGTTGGAGGTGAGATCTGGTGGCCTGTGGGAGGTTTCAGGATAGGAGAGATTTGCAAAACCTTCATAGAGAGGAGTGAGTCCAGGGACCCAGCCGGATCTCTGGATGGCGCCAGGGGTGGACCCGTTGAGGGTAGAGACGGCAGATTTCTAGTGGCACTGCTATGCCCATCTGTGACTTAGCAGGTGCAGATGAAGAGAAGGTAGACAGTTGGGGTTTTGCCAGAGAAGGCCAGCGGGGTGAGAGATCAAGCCCCAGGGCAGAGGAGCCCGGGCTGAGCCTGTGGGTTGTCAGCTTTGAGAGGGGAGGGGACATGTTGCCTGCTGGCCACCACTGAGCAGGGTAGAATTCAGACTCTGCTACTTTCTAGTTTTGAGAGCTTGCTCGGCCTCTGAGCCTTAGTTTCCTTATCTGGAGAGTGCTCTGCCCCACCTCTCAGGGTTCTGGGGAGAGTTAGATGGATTCTGCTATGTGGTGGGCTTAGCCTGGACCACCTCCTACTGTCAGCTTGGGGTCTGGGTGCCATCGGGACTGTGCCCGAGCTGATGCCTTTGCCTGGCCCAGGCGCGGTTGACCTGCCCCTGCTGTAACACCCGCAAGAAGGATGCAGTCCTTACCAAGTGCTTCCACGTTTTCTGCTTCGAGTGCGTGCGGGGCCGCTATGAGGCCCGCCAGAGGAAGTGCCCCAAGTGCAACGCGGCCTTTGGTGCCCACGACTTCCATCGCGTCTACATCAGCTGAACCTGTAACTCAGGGGACTCTGGAACACCCACGGACCCTGGGGGCTGTGCCTCCAGTCCCTCCCCACCTCATGTTCAGTGGCCCCTACCCTCCATTCCAGACCCTGTGGGCCCAGCCCCACTCCACCTAGTTGGTTTGGGGGTCCCAGTGCGTGCTAGTGGGGGTGAGATCCGTCAAGCTCAGTTCCATCTTTCCCCCCCAGTCAGAGCTGTAGCCTAAGGGGCACCTGCCCTGCAGGAAGGGTCTGCTCTGAGCGGAGCACTCAGCTGAGCTCCTTGGAAGCTGGCCCTAACCCTTGGCCACAGGCTGACTCCTAGGCAGCTGTCTCCGTGGGCCCATCCTAGTCCAAAGGGTGAAATCCCCCAGGCTGTGACCTCCTACCCAAGAGGAGGTGCGTTCACTACCTGCTTACCCACAAGTGAGGACCAGGGGTGGGCCAGTTTCCCCAGGCCCTTAACTCCGGGGCCCAGGGAGACTTTCCCAGCTTGGGTGGGGCTTCCCTCCTGTGGAGTTCCCTGGGCTCTTTGGTCTGGCTCTTATGCTAAGGGCTGAAGGAGGTACCCCCTGGGGGGGGGGCACGGTCCTCCTCTTCTGGGGAACTTTGGCTGCTGCAGTCACCTTGCCCTCATCTCAGGAGTGCTGAACGAAGATCATCAGTCTCTATTCTAATCAGCCTCCCCCCCATCTCTATTTCTTTCCCAAGCCCACTTAGCCCACCCCCACCCCCCACCTCATGCTTCCCAAGACTCCAGTGGGTCCCCAGCCTGGACCCTGCATTCATCCTAATGGCTTTAACTGCAGTGGAGGCGGAATTTCCCAGGAGGGGAAGGGACAGACTAGCGGCTGGGCCAACTTCCAATCATTCCAGGTAGAGGAGCTTCATCTAACGCCCTGTGACTGAGCCTGTCCCCAAGATGCTTCCTGTGCTGCCTGCCCAAGCAAACTCCCATGGGTTGTGAAGGCCACAGGCAGGGGCCTGGAAGGTGGAGCTGCTGACAGGTGCAAGGGTCCATTCAGACCCATAGGCCCTGCTCTAGAGATTTCTTGTATAGGCTGTTAATTGTTATGAATAAACATCCAACCCTCAGCCTACACTCCGAGTAGCCAGGCTTCCTGCCCTAAACGTGGTCCCAGATTTTAGCTGCTACACTTCTCCGGTCGCTGCCCTGGCTGGCATGTGAACCCCCAAGGGCCGGCGCAGAAACCTCCCCCTTCCCACCCCCAGCATCTAGTTACATTTGGATCTAACTGCCGTCTCGGATCCCAGACTGTGCTCGCGGGAGGAGCATGTCTGCAGGGAGAAAGCATCCTTCGTCCACCGTCGCCAGCCTGCCCCTCCTGCTCCCACCCGGCCCGGCTGACCCTGCCCAGATTCCGGCTGCGCTGCCGGCCCCCTCCGAGCGGGCTCACCACGCCCCTCGCAGTCATTGGCCGCAGGGATGCTGGGAGCCTCGTGTTGGATTCCGGGAAATGTAGTCCCTTGTTAGCCCCGGGCAACAAGGTCCTCGGTGGGGTGGGCTGGTTCCCGGGTTGTGCCGGCCAAAAGCAGGCCTGGACCCAATCTGCGGACTGACCCTTCCCACCGGCTTCACCCGCCCCTCCCCCCGCGGGCGGACAGATTAGAGCAGCGCAGCGGGTGACTTCTTTTCATTGCAACTCTGTTCTCGGGAACCGCGTGTCGAGTGGTGTCTGTGGGTTCAACTTGCTATCGGGTCCGCGGGCGGAGCCTTCGCTGCGGCGGTGACGGGGCTCGCGCCGGGGCCGGTACTGACCGGGCTAGGGTCCGGAGTCGGGTGCATGGTTGTGGCGGCCCCAGGCTTGACAGTAGTCGCGCCTTCGCGGGGCCCCGCGGCCCTTTCGACGGTCGATCCTTCGCGGGGGCCCGCGGCCTTGTCCGCCTTCGGGCCCCACCTGGCGTCCAGGGTTTCGGCGGGGTTGCAGCGGCTGGACCAGGTCGGCGTGGAGACGGAGACGCGGGCCACCGTGACTTCCGGCGCTGGGCTGGCCGCGGTGGGCACGCTCACCGAGACCCGGGCCGCGGTGGGCGATGGCATCGGGCCGTCGAGGAAGAGTCCACCGCCCAAGGGCAGCGGATGCCAGGCTGGGCAAAACGCAGCATATTGCATCATAGAGACACGGGCAGGCTCTGAGAGGAGGGCTGCGCCGAGCGGTCAGGGTCAGCCAATCTTCAGTGAGCACTGTCCTCTTTCTCAGCAGTCTTCTCCACACGGGCTCTTTCAGTAAATATTAGTAACTTCACATCATTTCACTCAGGAGGTTTGACTCCTGATAACCCCCAGTAGCCCCAAGTGGCCTCAGCGGCTGTGATACCCTGGGCCCCTAGGATGGGCAGGCCAAAGTTCCTCCTGGACCAACCCTGACCTTAGCTGGCCTGGGGAGTGAGCAGATGTTGGCCTCATGGTGAAGGTGCCTGTTTTAGCCAGAACTAGGGCTGCTGTGTGGTTGGCCACAGAGTCCAGTAGAGCATTTGACATTGACCACTCTCTTTAAAACTTCCTTGGACTGTGGTGCTACACTCTTCTGATTGTTCTCATACTATCTTCTGCTGTCCCTGTTCCTCCAACCCTAAGCTACACCCTCTCCTTTCTTCTCCACTACTCTCCCTGTGTCTTTATCCATGGCTTTGGCTACAGCGAAGCTGCTAAGATCCATTCCTCTAGTCCAGTTCTCCTTCCTGAGTTCCAGACCTACAAAAACACCACCATGGGGGCGGGGGGGGGGGGGGGGGACAAGGTCGTCACTCTCCTCGCAGTGGTGCTCTACCCCCAGGTTCCTCAGACAAGATGCCCCACACTTCGGCTTCTGTTCTCCACCTTACCTCAGTCTCTACTCAGTGCTCTGCTGCCCACCCCGTATAATGTTATGTACTTTGTACCCCCCACCCATTTCTGGCTCCTGCCCTCTGCCTCAAGTCACTTCCTCTGGCCAGTTTCCTGACCCTCTGCTGTGGCAGGGACTACGTCTGGGTCCACAGCCTTTTCTGCTAAGGCTCTGAACCAATCACTGTGCTCCAATGCCTGTTCTTTCCCTGAAGTCCCCTCACTTCGCTGAAGACTCCTGCGCTGGGACCAGGACAGCGGACACAGAAGGCAGGACAGCCTTCACTGCTCACCTCCCTGGGAAAGGCAAGTCCCTTCTCCCTTACCTACCACCCCACTCCCTGCTTTCCCGATGGGGAAGGGGAGGGAGAGACAGCGAGCCTGCCCTGGGAGTCTAGGCCAGGGAGGCACAGAAAGAGTGGAGAGAAAGCTTTCTGGCCGGGGCAGAGGCAGGCTACAGGTTAGAGCAAGTGTGGATCTCAAGTGGCTGTTCAGGGGGCCATGGCCAGGCCTAGGCCCAGGAGATGGCGCTGAGGCAAGCCTGGCACTGAGGACTCAGCAGGAGCAGCCCCGCCTGGCCAGACAGTGTGGAGCCCAGGGCAGGCCCAGGCAGGCCCAGTGCTGGGGGAGGAGAGGTTTGGTTGGGTGCAGAGCCTGCTCCTGGCCGTTCTGGTTTCCCTCACTGCCTTCCTGTGTATCTTGTGCAAGTGGCTGCCCTTCTCCAAGCCTCTCCACACAGTGAGGGCTTATGGGCTGCCTCCTGCGGTGAGATCTCCACCCATGCTTCCTCAGGGCCTAGGAGGCTCTGGTCCAGCGGTGGACTGACTGGGCCCCCAGATGAACCAGGGGAGGTGCCACCAGCTTTTGGAACTAGATCTTCGGAGCTTTCCCTTGTGGCAGTCTGGGGAGAGTGCAGTTGTGGGGTGGTCAGAGAGGCCTCCCTAGGGCTGCACGGCTGGATCGGAGCTAGCCAGCACCAGAATCACCGGGAAGCCACCCAGGAGTCAGCAGGTCATGCTGGTGGCAAAAGCCAGGCACTGGTTAAGACCTTGGCTCTGCCACCATCTCAGCATGTTTCTCCCCCTTTCTCTGAAGGACATGGATTTTAGCAATCCATAAACCCTCGGGCTCCCACCCTCAAGCACTGTTTGGGGATTTGAGAGCATCTGAGCGAAGAGTACAAGGGGAACCTGGGCCTGGCTGAGCTTTGGAGGTGACACACAGACCCTGGCTCTGGGAGAGGACAAGCTCCTTCAGCTTGCTCCAGGCTTGAAAGAGAAGACAGAAAACATCTGGGAAATCTTATTCCCTTTATTCTCTTCAACTAATCAACATGACCACCGGTGACACAACACTGTTATTGACACACAACACTCAAAAGTGGGGCCTCTCTTCACGGGGACAAGTCAGGTTGAGTGGGGCTTCCCTAATCGGGGCAAAGGAGTCTGGGGGCTGCTCACCTCAGGAGCAGGTGTCATGGAATCCCACCTCTTGGTTGTGATGGTTTCAAGTTTCCCCACCATTCCGGATTCATGCCCATCTCTGTTGAGTTCCCATGTGACCTCCAGAGCCATAGAGGTTTCAAGTTGCACCCTAAGCTCAGATCAGTGTCTACTCTCCCCTCTGCTTTCACCGATGACCCCGTGACCGGTCTGTTGGGCTCCTCCACCAGGGCACTTCTGAAGTCAGGCCTGCGTGGAGCTGGGCAAGAGAGTTTGGCTACACTGTGCCTTCTGGACTAAATTCTGGTGGGCATGTGCCATGACCATCCCCTGGGCCTTTGCCTAATCTGGTCAGAGGGACTCTGGACACTGCCACCTCCCCAAGCCAGCTCCCTGCTTAGTACCTCCCAAGATGTAGCTCGCTCTGGGAGGGAAGCACCTGGGTAAAGAAGTTTGGGGAGGTGGGCAAGAGAGAACAGGTCACGCCCCAAAGGTCTCCGATTCTGCCCCTTTCCTGCTACGAAACCCCAGACCCCGACTAATCATGTCCACATCATCCATTCAGTACCGGAGCCAAGACTGCTGGCCCTCACCCATCCCTACACATGCGAGCATCCTACTACATATGCTTCACCCTAGTCCTCAATAGGCCGACGGCTGGCCTTTGACCACACTGACCACCTCCCCCCCGCCCTGGACTGGCCCCAGAGCCCCAAAGACTGCTCTTCTGAAGACAGATTCCTCCGACCTGTTTCCGAGGGGAGCTGCTTCTAGCTTTACAAGGGGTTTGTCTCTACAACTGGTTTCTTTCTACTACCATCTTAGAAAAAAATCTGCTTTGACGTGGAGGACTGTCTCCTCTTCCTCAGTCTCCTAGGGACACCCCCTCTGTTGATGCTTCTGTCAGTAGAGATCCAGCAGGCAGGCTCCTTCTCCCCTCTCAGTAGTGCTTTCTGACCGGGCACTTGGGTGGGCTGGGGCTTTTATGCAGATGATGACGAGGGTCTCCCCACAATTAGCCAAGGCCTGCCTTTTCCTTCTCCCCAGGCCTGGGCTTTTCCTCCTACAGTATTCTAGATTTTGATCCTTTGAATTTAAGGTCATCCCTTTGGGGGCAGGAGAGATGAAAGGTGAAGGGCTTTCAGCTTTCGAGCTTTTAGATCATGGAAATTAGAGGTCTCTTCCACAGCTCTGAGGAATCTGGGTCGCCCTCTCCAGGGGTGCGACTCCTGAAGGGCCCCCTCACCCGGCATCTCAGTTCTCAGACTCGAGGACCACAGTGCACAAGCGGTGCATGGGGTCCATGGGCACTTCCTTTGGACCCAGTACTGGACGGAGTCCTCTCCTTCTTTAAGGGTCTCCCGGGTTAGGGGGCGGGGTTCTTGTTACAGATGTTGTGAGTTTCCACTCAACCATTTCCTAGGGCAGCAGTCTCCCTCCCCCCTGCCACACACACCCAGTCATGTTAGCAGGTTTGGCTGGGTTAATGAAGGAGTGTTACCGTGTGGTGTGTGAGGACAGGAGATGGGCCTGGCAGGGGAGTGGGTTTCTCATCCTTCCGTTGCTCTCTGAAGGTTTCTGGCTAAGGAGGAGGGGAGCCAAGTGGGTGGGATCTGTCCCCTCCCAAGGCCATGATCGGGCTGGGTCATCACCACCTCGGAGCGCTCCAAGTACCAGGGTGAGGAAGGTGGCCAGGCCTCCGGATGCTCTTCAGGGACCTATGGCCCAGTCTGTGGGGTGTTTGGATGCCCGCCACTACGTGCCAGCTGGCTCAGCCCGCCAGCAGCCTGGCTAGCAGCTCAGATGAAAGAG